TGATCCAGATTGCTGATGAAGGCTACATGCTCTTGAGGAAAACTCGCAAAAGAACATGTTGCTTGGACAGGATGAGCCACTGCATTGTTGTTGAAGTACACTTTGGTATCAACCCACTGAGATGGTTTCTTCACTCTTGTACTCCTTCTCAATGGTTGAATTTGTTGCCCTTCTAACTCTACCTCTTCCTGCCCTTGGAATTCATTAACCTGGTCTTCAATAGACTGGTCAATTTCAGGTTCATCTTGATCATGCGTGTCGGTTGAATCATCTATTTCTTGTGGCTGTAATTCAGGTTCATTGCCCCCTTCAAGATCAAGATGACCAGTTTCAACAACTGGTGTTGCTTCTTCATTGTTTTCAGCAGATGCCGGTGAGGAAGAATCCCTTGGCACTTCACTACTTTGAGGCTGACTGATGCCAAGATTCTCCAGAATAATTCTCAAGTTGTTTGCTCTATCTGAGGGTCCTTGTGAGAGATCTTGGAGACTTTCCCAACTCTTCTCCTCATAGTACCCCTCAGATTCCACAAACTTAACATCCCTTGAGACCATAACTCTTCTTGCATCAGGAATGTAACACTTATAACCTTTCTGCGTGTGGGAGTATCCAATAAATATGCCCTTGACACTCTTGGCTTCTAACTTGTTTCTCATTTCTCCTGGTGTCAAGACATAACAAACACACCCAAACACACGTAGATGATCAATTGGAGGTTTGATTTTGTTTAATACCTGAAAGGGAGAGACATCTTGGAGAACTTTGGTGGGGATTCTATNGTGTAAGGACAGCTTGTTTGATGGATAATCCCATGTTTTGTTAAGTGATGTTTGAAAGCATTGCTTGTATATTCTCCCCCATTATCAGACCTGAAAATTTTGATCTTGGAATTGAAATGGTTAGATATATAGTTTTGGAAGTTAATAAAAGCTTCTAAAACCCTATCTTTAGTTTGAATCAGGGTGAGCCAAGTATATTTTGATTTTTCATCTATGAATGTAACAAAATACTTATGATTCTCCCTAGACATGCAAGGAGCAGTCCAAACATCAGAGTGCACAAGATCAAAACAATTCTCGTAAATAGTCATTGATTTAGGAAAAACAGACCTTTGATGTTTACCAAGAATACAAGCCTCACAACTTTCATTCTTAAAAGATAGATTATGTAACATCAAACCTAAGGCACGAGAATGAGGATGACCTAATCTAGCATGCCATAACACATCACTAGCCAAAACAGAAGTAGAATTAAAAGCACAAGATAAATCTGAAACTTTGGTGTCTTCAAGCAAATATAGCTCTCCCTTGCTCACACCTTTTCCCAGCATCTTACTGGTCTTAATATCCTGAAAGCAAACATCATTAGGACTGAAAATAACATTGCAATTTAGGTCATTAGTTGCTCTCTTAACAGATAATAAGTTTGACGTAAAAGTGGGCATGTAAAGAGCTTGAGAATCTTTATTAAACAGTTTCAGATTTCCTATTCCTTCTATGGGTATTTTATCACCGTTTGCAATTTCTACACTGTCTAGAGCTGGGGTTACATTATTAATCAGTCTAGAGTCCCTAATCATATGATGAGAGGCTCCTGAATCAATGATCAAAGGTCTAGCAGTGTGAGATCCATTGTGAACAGAGTTTAAAGTATTAATACTAATGTTACCAGAGTTCGCATTAAGAGCCTTTATAAGGGCCTCAATGTCTGACTTGCGGATGAATGCATCATCAGAAGATGGCTGAGACATAGCGTGAGAGGTGGAGCCACCAGTGTACTCATGAGCTCTTGCTTCATGTGCTTTTGCCTGGTTGAACTTGGCTGGTTTGAGGTGCAGGTGGAGGATCCAGCAGTTGGTTTTGGAGTGTCCCAACTTCTTGCAATGCTCACACGCCACATGCTTGTCTCCTCCTCCCCTTGGTTTGAAATGAGCTTTATTAGCTGCTGCACTTTCTACTTTCTCAGCCTTGTTTGCCATAGACAGCTCTTCTTTTCTCCCAAAGAGACCATCTGAGCCAATCTCCTTTTGAAGTTGTGCACACACATCATCATAGCTTTGGAGCTCCTTAGCTCTCAATATGTGTTTAACCACATCACTGAAGTTTGAATTGAGTGTGAGAAGAAGACCAAAGACCTTGTCTTGCTCACGCCTCTCCT